CATACATGATTTGCATGGAACATAGGTTTACACTCACAGTCCTTTGCAGGACGGGAAATTGAGGGATTTTTCAAGAAGTTGTTGAGATTTGAATTGTGCGAAGTTACTCGAAAGATTATATGGAAATTTGTCATCTGAAAAGCTCTTATTATCATTCATGCACTTTTGTGGATAGTAAAGTATTATTTCACTATAAAAATATATGCAAAGTATATTGTAATGTGTAAAACTCTCATCAAAAATGCATTGTCTTATCGATTTAATTGATTTTATGTTAGCATAAATTTATGTTGGTTTGATTTTATGTTAGTTTGATTGGATATTAACTTTTTTTCATCATTTTTCAATCTTCAGTATTAAATATCTCGACACTTGAACCTCACATTAAAATTCCGTTGGAATAAGTTGATTGCAATTTAAATTAGAAATTAGGTTTCATATCTTTTTATCAAACTATATATTTTTGTTTTTTACTTTTATATGATACACTTTTATATTCTTCAAGTTTTATTCGCAAATATCTATTTTTTTTTTGTTTTATTAATATGATGTGTGTTTAAGTGACATAAAATATTGAACCGTAATTTTATTAGTTGACATTTTGCGTACACCGGCAGGTATGTTAATGTCAGTTTTTTGTGATGAATTAAGCGGTAGCGTGCAACTGCGAAATAGTTCAGCGAGTCTTTCATTACGTTCCGATACGCCCAGAATGTGAACGGCGCACAGGAGAGCGTGCTAGGAAGCTGGTCAAGTAGATATCTTGTATCTTCAGGTGCATTAGCGAACTGCCTGAAAGGTCGCAATAAATTATGTGACGGCTGGTTCTCTTCTCCCTTCCTATCTCTCTCTCTCTTTCTCTCTATCACCTGTATTTTCCTCGCTCCCGTTTCACATAGTTCCGCTCTCGTTACGACGGGATAGTTTAAAGGGCGAATTTCCGCTTTGTTATTATTTGAACGGACTTGAACGGGGGGGAGGAATCGATAAATTCCTGTTCGGCATCTTCCCGCGCCGGACTCTCGTAGCATTAACCGGAGATTAACATTACCGCTATTTGCACGGACACCGCGAACGCGGAAAATGAACGCGGAGATAAACTGGAGATGATAGGAAGTTGCCGAGAAGATGGATAGAGAAGTGTCGCAAAGTGAGCAACTTGGAATCTTGTAGAAAATTTCTCGTGGAAAATCTTATGAGTAGATAATGTATATTACATTTTTACAGTAATTTATTGAGAGGAACTTTTAAAAGTTTTAACTTATACCGATTTATACGTTTTATTATGTAATATTAATAAAGAACTGAATATAACAAATTTAATAATTACATTCGATGATTGACTCGACACGTACTGGAAAATAATATCTTATATAATTTTTTAGATTGCGATTTTTTAGATGCGCGTTAATTTTTTAGAGTGCGAGTGGAGTTCTATGTTTTGCTGCAATAACGATACGCTTAATTGTGTAAAGCGTAATATAGAGAGATAATAAAAGTGCCTGCAGTGCTTGTCAGCTTTTCAGTACCACTTGCTGCATAGACGGACTTTTTGTTAATTAATTCTCTTACCTCTCGTAAAACAAGAACGGCGTCTCCAGCTGGTTGAAGTTTTCCGCGGATATTTAGATATCAATTATAATAATTGAATATTTCCTTTGTGCGTTCTGCTGTGCTCAATATCGTAGACTGAACTTGTCTCTTTGAATTTACTCATAAATCTCAACTTTTTTTTGTGAAAATTCTTATATCAATATATCTCGTAATATTTCTTATTAATTCCGCATATAATATATTTTATTTTATTTTTTTGAACGTGCACAACATACCGAGAAAGAAATGCAAATAATTTTACAGAAAAATATTTTTTAACAAATACAACTTGCGTAGCGCGAATCGAATACGTCAATTCGCGTATAATACGAAAAGCAACAACATAAATTATTGAAAAATTTAATACATATCGCGTAAGAAACGCGATATACGCCGCACCAATAATATTGTTTAAAAAACACACATGCCTGTCGAGTGAATAATAAGTTTGTATTGTTCCCGCGTCGCCTTTTACAGAAAGGGTATTCTAGGGGATCTCGGCGAAAATTCAGTTTGGATAATTCAGTTTTGGTCAATGCAAAGTCTGAAATTCTCAGGGAGCTCACGGTGAATGCTTCGGGACCCAAAGGAGGAGGACTCAGGGCTCTGAAGCTGCCGAAGGAAAGTACGATAGACAGCCCTCTTGTCTTCCCCTTGTCGAGTCTCGTCTACAGTTTATCCGCCGTGACTGTTCTAGCGCAGCGAGCGCTATAAAGGACGGGAACGAGGTTCCGTGCTAAACACGGCGAGAGGACGAGTTTCTTTTCTCTCGAAATTCCGTGGAAAATGATGCTCTCGTACAAATCGACATCGATGCAGACAAATATTGCGCGGAACGATGGACAGAGAGAGAGAGAGAGAGAGAGAAAGAAATATCAATTGTAAATTAAATATTGCAATTTCAGGAGAATTCACGAGATAATTAATACACGCCGCCTCACGTGTATTTATGAATATTTGCCGTCCTATAATTGAAAATGAATTGTGTTATGTTGTAGTTTAATCGCAGAAATAAGCACAGTACAATAGGTCGCATGTATCCTACCGAGAGGAATTTAATATTAATCCGCGCGAGCTTCCATTTCCATTGTAACATTCAGCACAAAGGACTGCCATTATATTCCATTATTACAGTTCACGGTTGTCCAAATCAAATAACATAGAGCGGAGAAACGACGATTGCATGATCTCTATATTATGGTGACGCTTAGGCAGGACTGCTTCTAATTTCTTATCAATATGCTTTCATTATTAGGACGCCTCTGAAACATGCATCAATGATAAATGCACGGGCACACATGGAAATTTCTCGCTCTCGCGTTTTTCCGTCTAATTTAAAATTTATTAATGCACGACGAATCGCCGGCGGTTGATATTTAATATTTATCAGAGCCCAGCTAACGCGAGCTCGGTTCGAATCCCCCCAATAAATCCACGGGTCAAAGGAACACGCGGGATCTTTTACGGCCCGCGTTAGCGGCTTTCAATATCGGGTCGCAGAGGAATACGTGACGAGAAATTTTCCAATGGCTTTTTATGTCACCGGCCGTCGGTGTCGCGGCACGTGGATATTTTATCCGTAAATTTCTTTCAAATCGTTCCATATCGGCTATTGTGACGGGACATCCCCAGGGCAATTTAAGGGCGCTTAATCCTACCACCGACACCGTCGCGTTTGTCAAAATTGCACGCGTCGCATAATTTTCTAAGAACGCGTTGCAAAAAGGATGATTTGCTTTTAACAGCTTATTCTAGCTGAATTAAGTGCATTTCTCTTTCCGCTTTTGCAATCTTTTTTTATGGAATTTTTCTCCTTTTTGATAGCTACTAAAAGTATGCTGTTTGAGAAGCTAAGATGCAAATGCCTCGCATTTATCTTTTGTTCTTTGTATACTTTACTTTTATATTCCGTTATATCTCGATGTATTCCTGTGCGAATTTGCGCGCTTGTGAGGAATGCTCAGGGAGATTGTCGTTTCTCTGTAAAACACATTTTTGACGGCGATATAAAGGCAAATGAAAAATATCGACCTTACCTGGCTTATCATATTACCTGGTTTATATGTCAAATATATTACAACGCTCTAAAAAAAAATATATATATATATATACATACATACATACATACATACATACATACATACATATATGAATATAGAATGCTTGCGAGGCTTGGCTGTTGATTTGATGTTCCTCCTCTCCGCCTTTCTCGCTTACCATCTTGTCGCACAATTTAGAGTCCTCCCTAAGTGCTCGCTAACGCAGAGCAATATTTCATATAACAATACTCGAATTTTACTTACAATTTTGTGGGGAATAATTGTTCGTTACTATAATTCGTGGAAATTGAATTTTTTTATCTGTGTTTCAATCGAAGTAAATATTCAATGTAAATATTCGAAAATTGTATTTCTTCAATTTATTCATAAAACGATCCTTTCTATGATTAAAACCTCAAATTAAAAAATAGTGTAAAAATGTGATGTATCTTTTTGAAACTTTATTTTTACTATGTGTTAAGATATGCTGCATGTGTTTGTTTGTTTATAAAATTAGCACAAATAAAGAATCATATACTTCATGATGGAAAATTTTCCAAGTGAGATATTCTCACCAGCATTTATAATAAAATATGAGTTTTTAATGCAGTACATTTATAGCATATGTACATTTTTAATATAACACTTTAATTAAATTGCGCGTGAAAATTTTCCTCATACGAATAAACACGCGCAACAAAATTTTATATAACGTCACATCTTGTAAATGTTGCGCGTCTTTTCTGAGAAATTCGACCCTATGAAATACATAATTCTTCGTTTGTGCCAACTTTGGTGTTGGCAGTGGCCGACAATAAAAAATATGGCAGACAAACGCACGCGTCGTGTGATGACGAGTGGCGGTGGAAAAGTTTAATAACCGCTCTCAGGCGACGACGCGAGCGCAACAAGAATAATTGACGCAAAACCGCCCGGCAATCGTCTTTGCAGACGTCCTGTTATGATTTATGCTTCGTCGGGAACACGCGGCCAACTCCACGATGTTCGTGCGGTGTTACCGTCGCAATTTTACCGGCCATTAGCCCCGTGTATGATACATCCTTCACGGTTTACCACTTTATTAACACTTAGATTACCGCGTCGAAAGATATATACGGATGATGCTTGCATTTCCGCGAAAGTTTTGTCATTTGCCTTCGGATGACAAGTTTAGTCTCCATTTCAGATAAAGTTCAGCGAAAAGATTGATACGTCGCTGAAAGAAGCAAATATTTATTTTTTCGCTAAATCTTTCAATTATAATGACAAATGAAATTTTAGAAATAATTAATCTTTTGTTTTCGAAATAAAATTATATTTAAAAATTAAGAAGTATAATAATACTATCTGCTTTTCTTTTATTTATAGGGAACCGTCCAACAGAGACTCATCTAGACGCCCCTAAAGCAGCTGTCTACGGTAAGTCTGCGACAGTTAACTTTTTTTATCTTGCGTGGTTCATAAACCCGATTGCTCAATAACAATGAACGCAGCAAGCTTTTACGCCCCGCACGAGCAAGAAATTCTGCTTTTATGTTCGCGCGCAAGCACTCTCGAGAAATTTATTATACTTATAAGCAGGGACAAAATGTTCCTGCAAAATGCACTTCTTCACTGAATTAAAGTAATAAATAACAAAGACGATAACAGATTAGAATGACTAGAAGCGGCGCGATAGATGGTCATTTTCGTAAAAAATTCGTGGCTGATTTAAGATCGCTGAACGGCACACGATAACGATACGCTAATTAGCACGTAAGAACGGCAAATCCTGTAGCGTTAAAGCTCCGTAATTTGGGAGCGCAGCGACAATACGTCGCGCTGTAACAAGCCGCGAGTTGCTGCGATAAGCAGCGCCAACGGCGCCAATTAATTTATTATAACAATTCTACCTTTCAGTTAGATAAACAATGCCGCCGACGCAACAAATTGCACGCCGTGAAACTGCGAAAACGTGTGTCGGCGTGCATGTTTACAACGCGATGCGTCTGTGTGCGCGCGCGTAATGCGTATAATAATGTCGGGACGCTGTAATTAATTTGCCATTGATTGAAATGCGAAATTGCGTCGATATCAGGATCTGCAAATTCCCTGGGGTTAACTGTTTCGCGTGATCGGCGAGCGATTGACAAACTCTTAAACGGCTCGTTTTTTCGAATTAAACACTTTTTGCACAATTTGTAAAATGTGCAACCCCTTTCAGATATATCGCGGCACTCTTCTCGCTTGCCATTTCTGTGACAAATACGAAATGAATCTTTTCGTAACAAAACGACGGAAAAGAGAAATTAATAATTTTCGAATTACGAGCAATTGAAAAGGAGGGGAAATGGCGCTTCGGATGTGCGAGCAGATGGTGTAGTCTTACTTTCGTTTAATTTCAAGTGGATTTCATTTCAACGGACTTGGAGATTAATTACAGAGATATCGAAAATGTTGAAGATTGAAAACTTGGGACAAACGATAAGGATACAAATTCATTAGCGAAAATTTAATCCCGAATTAATCAAGGGTGAAAGGTGAAAGATGGCTCGTTACGTCGGAAGACAATATTTTGTACTTCGGCGCAAGTAATCGCGATAGTTGAAAGTTCGATCTGTTACGATCGCTCTTCGCCGTGACCGATCGCCATTCGACGTTGCGTAGCGCGTAGGCGATATACGCGGTCGTTTACAAGAGCTTTGCACCTAATGGCTCGTTAAATTGAATGTCGTGCACGTCGGGCAGGAATAATAATTGATAATAACTACGGAGTAACGAGGATACCGCTTAGCCGGCTGCCAATCATGAGCTCGGCCTTCGCTGAAGATTCTCGTGAATCTAACAAGATTAGACGTGACGATATTGAAATATTTCGTAGCTAAGTGAAACGTCCATCGAAAGTGTTTTAATAATTTTCCGTCACTTGTCGTTTGAATTATTTACATTAAAAACTGATTTGAATGAAAAAATATGGAATAATAATTTACGCGCTAGCGAATATTTGAAAAATTTTCAAAAAGAATTCAGTCGGCGTTCAACCCGCGAGTTGGAAAACGTTATAAATTGCACATAATTTTGTTGAATTCAGTTAGAGTCATCAATAACAATTGACTACAATTTGATTTTACCGTGCGGCGTGTGTAGAACCGTACGTGTTAAAATAACTATCTTGTCGCGCGTTAGCGCGTTTCCGGTCGACCACAATGTGCTAACCGCGTCTGGAGTGCAACGAGCGCTAGTCCGCGACGAGGTAGTCGAATAGTGGTAGGGTTAAAGAGGCCGCGAGGGAGGGAGGGGTGAGACATACACTGCTGCAAAAGCAACGACCGGGGCTGACCTGAATCTACGGGCGGCGCGATGAAAAGGGAACGACAAAAGCTCTGCGATCTGCGGCGCCAGAACTGAGAGTGAAAATACGGAAAATAGGCCGCGGGACCGGGGACTTCTATATATATATTCGTACATACGTTCTTCTCGTATCAAGCCCACCTGCCCATCCCTCTTCTACAACAAACTATGGCACGCCGACGTCCGATCGCGTCGGACTTCGGAGAAACTGCAGCTGCGGTCTGCGCCATTTAGTTCTTAAGTACTCGCGTCGCGCATAAAGGAGCGATTCCGCTTGCGTCGCTGTATAAAGATAAGAATCCATTCGCGTCGCGGTGGAATAAAGATACGAATCTGCTCGCGAGGAGTGCGAGTTCCTTCCCATAATTGAAAGGCGAAACTTCACAGTCGCGCAATCTCCATGGAAGATGGTGCCGCATTATGAATCCACATTTTTGTTTGCTTAAAGATGGAAATTACGAGGCATAATCGTCCATTTTCTATGGAGATTACGTATCGCAAAGCCTGCGGAAAAGCCTCGCGCGATTTCCATGTCTTAAATATGGATACGACGGTTTGTAAATGAGTTCCCCGATTCTCCCTCGAATAAGCTCACCCGGCCGGGGAGGAAACGACGCCGGCGCCACGGATAAAGAAGCAAACATACAAATAACGTAACTCGTAAATTCCGCGGCGGACACAGCGTAGTTTGTTTTTAATTTAAGCGCAGACAAGTCCCGTAGGTAAAACGGATTAAATCGCGTTAAAGATTCATATCTCCGCGGCAGATGATTATCAATGTTTAATGTCGCCCACCTGCTCCCTTTCCATCCCTCTGCAGCGCTATGGCGCAAGTAACGTCACTTCGTGAGTGCCGTGCGGAAGAGGGAGGAGAGGATGGCGAGGAGGAGGGGCGGAGGGGGATAAAACTGAGAAGTGAGAGTAAAGAAGGAGGAAGCGAAGGAAGATATCGAACTCCGCGATGCCGACTTGCGATGCCGTCGTAATCGAGATCGACGTTGTCGATTGCGTGGGTTGAAGGACGCCGTGAGTTTTTCCGGGGTGCGAGAGAGAGAGAGAGAGAGAGAGAGAGAGCGCTTCAGCGCTTCAGTTACGTCACCGCTGCGCTGCACGTCGGAAGCTCCGTGGATCCGAAGCCACTGCGGAGATCCCGGGGCCGCGGCAAATTAGTTCCGTTCGAATTTCGTGTCGTAATCCCTGGGCACGCGAGAGACGTCGGAAAGAACGACGTTCGTATAAGGCTTCCCGTATACCTCCCGTTCCTCCGGGGATTCCCGCGAACGTGAGAGCTTTGCATGCCGCTTGATCCAACGCCCCGCTGTTGTACGTGGTTCCGATTTTTAAGCAAAACACCGCGCGCGACTCGGATCGAAGAGAGCGCGGGAGCACCTCGTGAATTTTTCGACGACGGCTGAAACGAATCCATAATCGCGAAACGAGATACAAAAACACACAGTGCTTGATAATCAAAATAAAATTTTGAAACTTGCGAGAAATATCCTATTATTTGCACCATCGATTGTTTGCATAAATAATAGAGAATTGTTTTTCACTTTTATAGAATCAGCGAGGCTTTTGAGCGTATGATTTGTTCGCTTCGTAAATACATATTTCTAATAAAAGGCAATTAGAGTAAAAATTTGTATTTGAGAGGATAATTTTCCGTTAGCATCGATCCGCAGTGCGGGATCAAACTTTTTCGTTGAATGCGGAACTCATAAAGATGGCTATAGAACTTTCTCATTCATGCACTTACAAAGAGCACTGACCTGGTTGAAATCGCGATAGATTATGATTTGAACAAGAAAATAATGAGCCACTTCTTGATAATTTATCTTCTTTTGCTTTAAAAATCTAACAATTTGAAATATTTATTGATATGTTAAAAAATCACAGGAATTTTTTATTGTTAATTAATTAATTCAGTAATATGTATAAAGCGAATAACATTTTAAACGCAATCATTTTTTCCATTATTTAAAGTTTTGATAAATTATTCAAACGCTTCTACATTTCTCTGTTAAAGCTTTATATGCAAAATTACAAGAGTAATATTAAAGCATCACTAGAACAAAAGAGGTACTTTTTGATATTCGTTGTAATATATTGCACTTACATTTAATCTACCACCATTCATATGTACATATTATATCAACGTTTTCTTCTGCTTCTTCTATTAATTTTTCAAAGATTTCTCGAACAATACCGTAAAACCAAATTAAAAAGATGTTAATATAAAATGTACAAAAATGCGATGATGCAAATAGAAATATATTACGTTTTACAACAAATTAGTGCTCGCTATAATGTAGATACCATCGTCGTAATTGTAATATTCGGTATATATTCTTGATTATCCCGAGACTTGGCGAACTCTGTATCGCTACGTTGTGCTGTTCTGATGTTGCGTGCGATGTTCTTCCCGTCATTCCGAAGCCGAGGAGTCTCGTACCGCTTCGTTAAGCGCGCGAGTTAAAGCGACGATCCGGTGCACGGCTGGCTGATTGTGTCCCTCCCGCCCGCGGAATCGAGCCGTTTAGGTCTACGTTTCGTCGAGAAATTTCCACTGGCAAAGCCGCGTAATAGCTTTCGGTAGTTTGAACGTCTATAGAAGGTAATTTGTTTCGCGGAGCGAGAGGGATGGGGATGAGGGTGGGAGCCATTCGTTTAACCATTCGTTCCTGGACGAATTTTATTGGAACTTTATGAACGGCAGAAAGAAGAGAGCGCGTTCCATATTCGGCACGACAGGAAGGAAATTGGAAACAGAAACAGGATCATCGCCGAGAGCGATAGCTCTCGAATCGCGTGCTTTTCAAGCAAATCGATTGTCTCTGCGCGCGGTGATAATAGTAGTAATCGTTTGGAATAATCGAAAAAAAAAGATGTAACCGTGACAAATTCGTGGAGAATAATAACTGATATTGAAATATTTTATATGAGTTTTTATCGTACGAATGACGTTTTAATTTATTCTTGCCCTTTCTTTTATTCATATATCCCTTGATGAATTTGGAAATTACTTTTCAAATCAATAATTCTATATCTTTATCTATCTCGTAGATAAAGTAAACTTCTGTTATAATTGAGTCCAGCTGGAATTGAATTTCCTCGTCAGATTTTAAGAAATGTTTCGGAATGATAAGGAGGACGTTTTATTTCGCCGCATAATTTATTTTCTTTAATGTTCGTGATCCTCCGATCCTGTTTATTTGCCTATCGTGACGAGGTAGAGAAAGGAAAGTGGAGAGAAGAAAAAGAAAAAAAAGATAGGGAAATGATAAAGAGCCATATTTTTCGGTTCGTTGTGCCATTCGTCACGGCCGAAACGACGATTGATACGCTGAACGAATTGTCCTCGACGACGTAGATGGATGGTGCTTAGATCCCGTGGATCGCAGGTGGCGATCCACGCTACCATCCGGAACTTCTCCTTTACTACGGATCTCCTTTCGCATTATTCATACTATCATTGCGCTGAATTTGGAAAGCTAGAGAAATAATTGAGCCGGAGGGAAATAATTAAGAAGTTTACTAGACTGGAAATTTCCTGCCCTTTTTTCCCCTTTTTCTCGTTTTAGCGTGTCACCCTGCAAATTCTGTCCAAAAAAAAAGTAACTGGCGAACAATCTACTTGAGTTTAATCGTTCTTTCATGCTTGCGAAAGGCTTTGATTCAGTTTTCCGCTATATAAAACGCGATATATTAACCGACTACAATATTAAGTTATATTATGTGTTATAAAAGACATTCAAGAGTGAAATAAAGGTCTATATTACTTGCGAGCCGCCGAGTGATTTACAGCTGTTGAACATTAAAAAGCCCCTCCTCACAAGCTCTTTTCTCAGAAGCTTACATCTGACGCGATAGAAATTTCTCTTCAGTCGCAACATCTCGATTTAAAAGAATATTATTGAATAATTCGGCTTTTTTATTTACTAACGATACACAAACTTCGCGGAATTGATTATAAACTATCAAAGATTTTTCACTGCATTCTTCGATGCGCGGGGAGGCTCGCGGCGCGACCGAACGAAGAAAGAGATAACTCACGCCGCGAGTTTTCACGGCATGGATAGCAAAGTTTCCCTTCCATTTCGCTGCTCGGTACTCCTCCTACGCTTCCTTCCCCTCAGCCATCCCACACGAATCACCGTGTTCCCGGTCCTACGTTGAAGCTTTATGAAAATCCCGTTGAAGTTTAGTCGGGCGAAATAGCGCTGCGAAAGTTCCACGGATGCGGCGGCTGGCAGCGTCGTACGCTTTGTCTACTTGGCCGGCTTGTTTCCCGTTACTTCCCTTACGAAGGAAAAAATCTTTCCGCGGAAACCGATGGGAGGGGGTACTTTTCACTTTTCCCGGCGAGTTTCGAAGGATGTCCGCGCTGAAAGAGCACAGCTGTGGAGTTACCGTTCGATGAATTATGCATGTAAATTGCAATTGACTTTCCACGAATAAAAGCACGCCGTTGAACACGAAGTGGGATCCCAAAAGATCCCATCTTATTTATTTTTAATGATGGATTTCTCAACTGACTTGAAATTTTGAATTAAAGCTCCGAGGACAATTAGTATTTGCTACAACTCTTCAATATTCATCTTTTTGTTTAATATTACTTTTTAATAATATATTGTTTTTTAATATTACACTAATTTAATTTAAATTAACAAGATATAAAAATAATTAGAAGTGCAAAAAACAAGAGCATTTGAAATTATACGGATAAAATTATTTTTTTATTTAATTATATTCTATAAATGTTTTAGAAAATTGTCAGACTTTTGAACTATCTCGATAAAAGGGTTTCGACTTTCGAGAAACTTTTGTATGTCTCGAGACTAATTAATCTCCGTATCGGAAGCATTTATTCATCATAATGGGGTCTCGAGAGTTTTTGAACGAGCCAAAAGCACGGTCGAAGTTTCGACATTCAGTAGAACTTCATCACGATTGATAAATGAAAGAAACTTTCTCTTTGCAATTTTAGAATAGTTAAAAAAATACCGCCGGATTATATCTTCTTTCTATCATTTTTTTTATTTAGTCTTTAATATAAAATATACTTTGATATTTTTAATCGCGCATAAAGAGGGATGGAAAAGTCAACGGAATAAAATTAACAGTAAAAAATTAAACATTTAACTTCGTTACTTCTAAATAATTATATTATGTACAAGTGCAAAACAAACATACATTTTCATTAAAAATAAAAAAGTACGAACAAGAAAAAATGTATGTATTCATAGCGTACTTCAAAAGATTTCGTACATCTTCGATCTGCTTCGTCAACAGGAACCAGCTAAAGTTTGAGCTAAGTACTGGAAAGATTTAAGAAAGATTTAAGAACAGTTAGTAGTCGGGGAGATGTTGTATCCGTACGCGGTTCGTAAGTTTATCTGTAAAGAGATATTTCATCGAGAGATTACGAGGTAATGGACTTCGCGATTACGCGGCCTCGGGAAATTTTCGTTCGTCGCGAGGGTGGCACGAGATTATCAGAGCAAGTCGATGATAAACTGATGATAACGAGCGACCTGACCGCCTAATGATTCATGTATCCCTTCAACTATCTGTCGTAGCGATCGAAAACTAATCTTGTTATCGCTCTCTACCGAGTTACTTGTACGTCTTGATGACTGTCATCTAGCCGACTGCATAGCGCGAGATAAAGTGACTCCGGTCGTTAACAGGGTGTGACTTCTTTCAGACCAGGGATCGTAGACCCTGGATTTGCGACCCGAAAATTTTATTAGCCCCCTCGGGATGAACATTCCTTCAGAAAAATAATCATATTGACCGTAATAAAATATTGACACAAATTTAAAAAAAAAATTCTTCCTCTCCTTCCAAAGAAATTATATGAAATAAAAAAAAAAAATTGTTAGATTAAAATTGAAAATTTTACATTTTCTGCTTATCATATTATCTTGCAAAATTATTCTGTTCAAGAAAATAACTGGACAATAATCTGATTGAGTTTAATAATTTTCTCACTTATTGTTAATAACATTTTGTAAAATTCAAATATTAATTTTCTTGTACTTAAAGTTGTTGAATGTAATATCGATAAAAAATACATTAATTAATTTAAAATTAAATATTTATTTTTTAATCTTAAAGAGAGAGAGAGAGAGAAAACTTACTTTTTAATCCATTTAAAGAAAGCAATATTTCAGACCTGTAAATTTGCTTTGTCTCAAGTACCATAATTACTCTAATGTGTGCTTTTACATCTCACGGTAATTCTCGAACGGCTGCTCACCCTTGCGGCTATTCTACATCCCATTTACGCTATTACATTACACAACCCCGAGATGGAAGCAGGTCATTACGTTCCATCATGTTCCCTTTAACAATATGACTTACCGTACGACGTTGGGGAAAAGTGACCATCGGTCATTCCCTTGAGAAAGAACGGCAAAGGGCGGCAAGAGAACATACGTGATATCCCGTGGAATCGAGATCGAGCGAAGCCGTTCCATTGACCCGTGGGAAAAATCCATCGGAATAGAAGGACACGGTCGGCAGGGTCTAAAACTCAATTTGTCAGCGTGTCGTAGCTTTCGGGATCTCCTTCGCAAGAAACATTGCCTTAGCCTTTTAGGGCCTCGCGTCTCGCATGACGCTTACCTCCGTCGTCGTGGTGAGTTCTTTTTCCTTCTTTCCTCTCAAATTGCGTTACGCTTCAGTTATCAAAAAAAAAATAATTCTGTGAAAATAATCTCCCGCCTTTAAAAACGGCTATAATGATATTGCCGGTGTATCTGAAAAGATTTTCCACCTCGGAAAATCTTATAACACAACTTGAGGAAATATGCCATTAATCTTACCTTTTTCTTTTCATTCCTTAGTAAGATATTTTATTTGGCTCAAAATTAATATTGTACACGTGGATTTAGGAACATCTACTTGTGTTATTTTTATCAATATCATTCTTTTTAGAACTGTGAAAATTATTGCCACCTGCAAAAAATGCAATTCATTCAATTGTTGTTGCAAATTAATACTCTTGATTTTTGGCACAATTAAACAAATACAATAATATACAGTAACGACAGTTTGATAAAATATATGTGTTCGCCGTGGATCGAAAAAAGAAAAATGCAAACTTGGGCATAAACATAATTTTTCAATTTTTGCGAATACATATACATTGTTTACCTAAAAAATGACGCACCTCAAAGCAAACTTTTCCACCAGGTGAAACTCTGCATATGCTATATTGAAGAAAAGTTATAAAAATGACAACACATGACATTTCGAGGATAAATTTCACGGACCTAGAGTTATTTTATCGCGGTACGTTGATCTTTTTAATAAACAATGTGTTCGCAAGTTTGAAAAAATTAATTTTATCCCACGCGCGCCTGAAGAATTTTCCCGACCTGCGGCGGATACAGTTTATCAAACTGTCGTTGTCAGTCGTTCGTTTAATCTTTAATCAAATCCGCGCAATCGCCTGGCATAACATAACAACGAAGAGAAAACGCGAGATCGATGAAGCGGGGCGTCGCGACGCGGAGATCCATCCGTGATGAGGGAATTGGGTTACTTGAGAAGTAGATGCTAAAAAATTCCCAGAGGGAGAAAGAATGGCGTCGAGTGAGTTGCCGTGGGAAGAAGGCGAAGGTGGAAAGTCATTACCGTGACAAAGACGATCGGAGCAATCGAGCCCGGTTCGAGAAGCCTATCAGTAAGCTTCAGCCGCGACTAAAGAAGCTTCCGGCGATTTAAGTGCGGCGCCCGAGAGGAAGAGAGAGAGAGCGAGCCTCAGCACGCGGAAAAAAAAGGTGGGAAAGTGGTTGAAAGGGCGCCCCGGCCGGTACGGCGGGCAGAGAGAAAATTGGCGGTCTTTTGCGCAGTAATACGTAAACCAGAACGGCTTTGCGGAATCAAACGCACTCGCGGGAAACTCGCTTTTGCGTGTATCTCTTTTTTTTTTTCGAAACATACTGACAGCGCGGCGAGAACGAGTTCGCGGGGGGCGGATGGAAACGCAAACAGCACTCGCACGGGAGAATGTGAAAGTGCGAACAAAGAGGAAGATTGCTGAGAGTTAACCGGACTTTCGCTCGAGCGGCGCTCCGTAGTGAGATTCTCGCGAAAGAGGAGAATTATGGTCCCGCGGGAACGCGAGAGACGGGATAGAATTACAACTGCTATTTGTTTTCACTTTTTTAACACTTCCGCTTCCCTATTTCACCCTTTTTCGACATCGCGCACAAAAGAAGTTCCCGGCTTGACGCAGTCTTTTTTTATTTTTTTTTATGTTTTTGTTGCTCTTTTCATACTAATCTCCGTTTCATTGTGGGACTTGCACGTGCGCTTCACGATCGTCCGGATCTTTCTCGTCACAGGTAATTAGTTTCCTCGTTCGTTTTACTCTTTTGCTCTCTTTTTCTCCCCTCCCCCCCCCCCACTCGGCCCCGATATTCTCTTTGTCGGCTCAGTCTTTTGACTCGTGCCAGATCAAACGCTCGAAATCCCAAAATGAAGTTTGTTGAACGATCGGGAGTTCACGTCGATAGGCATTCGGTTCGATTGTAAAATGCTAGGCTTTTTCGTTTTTCCTGCAATTCGACAAGGGCGTGATAAAAGGAATTTCTCGTCGAAAAGATGTATCCACGCGAATGATAAGTGCGTTATCCATTGCGTTTGGATCATTAAACATAAAATTCAATTTTTCGTCATTTTTATAGGCGCTTGCGATAAAATCAAGTACGAAAATAATTAGACAAAAAGAGAAGGATTTAGTATGTAAAAGCATACAACACATTTGCCTTAAATTTATTGTCGTGACATTTAGCCGCCTTTTAATTCCCACGTTTATTTTCGCAGTTATGATTCAAGATATCAGTCGTATTAAGAATTACGTCGGAAAACAAAAATAATCTGCCATTTGAAAACGATGCTGTGCAAACGCCGGGTAAAATAAAAACGCGACCGCTTGAAATTCCAATATTTAGATACGTGACCTGCGGCGAAACCACGAACGTGGAATTCGACTGCAGTTGATGCCGTGTTATCGGCGTTGTACTTGCAACGATTCGGCAACTATCCGTTGCAGCGAAAATTCGTTTTCACGTGTATTAAAGGTGCTGGGGAGAGATGGAGAAGGAGAGAGAGGTCTCTTTCTCCTGACCTCCCTAACTTTCGTTTGTGAACGAGAAACATGTGAACTTGTCTCTAGTTTCTATGCATGCTTCTCCCCGCTCTCTACGTGATAAGCGTCGAACACGTCGCGTGTTCCGGACACATGACGCACGCGATGCCAAGCCTCTAATGAGTTTCGGTTAACCGGCTGGCACGCAACTGCGTGCATTGCGTTACTCGCACAGTAGTAATGTCGATTTTGTATTTGTTGTTGTCGAACGCAGTTCTCGTGTTCGTTCAAGAAAGATTGGGGATTTAAAAGTGATTAAAATCGTAATGGGCAAACAATTAATGAGTGGCGTGTCATAAAATATAAATATATGAAAATCGTTTTATAATAACATTTTATATACGCGTTATCTGATTATTGCGTTTATCATTTATTATGCATTTATTAACTGTCCGAGTTGATTTTGATTAATTACCCAGAAAAGCTTAAGTAAAAAATGTATAAATTATGTCATACACATTATATAACACTTATCAGTCATTCACGTTATATTAATTTTTTTCAGTCATTAAAATTTTCTTACAGTACACATATTTTTTTTTTTTTTTTTAACGTGACCTAAAATATAAGTTAATAATTGCAAGAGAAACGTAAAATCATACTTGGATTTATATTGAAATACGTTTCGAAAGCATGGTTTTATTTTATTTTGGAAAGTCTTATTCTTGAAATAGGCCATCAGCAGCATCAGAATTCCCGACAACCGTAGTTGCGATAACCTACGGAGCAGGGTGGAGTTTAATCATGAATCATCTCCATAAGTTCATCCTCTGCTGTTTGGATCAGTATATATCCTTACTGATGACCGACTTGACGTTTCTTTTAGGAATGCTTCTATAGACTAGCGTTTGAAACTTAGTTACGAGATATACTTAGCTTCTCTGCGACATCTAGTGGTTCGTGTCTCAAATACATCGACACAAGCTATATTATATCTTCTGCGCAATGTGTTCGTATCAACGTTGCACGTGCTCGAGGATAGATAGGTTTCGCAAGACCAGATCCGCTCGCGTAAATATTTCATGAGCTCTTCTGATGTGCTGACCGATGCTGATTCATTGCATTTTTAGTGAAATATTTTAAGAAACAACTAACAGCGGAAAAAGACGATCACGTAATCTCCGCGTATGCGTAACAATCTCTCCGAAGCGTTTCACAAACAGTGATACAGCATTTTATTTTTTTTTTGTTTATCTCTTGTAATTTATAAAAAAAAAAATTTTATTAAAAACGTTCCGTTTCTTTTAATAAAATATTTTTTCTCAGTCTCTGTGGCGTTATTGGCTATTTTCGTTCAGCTGTTAATCAAAAGATTTAAGTGATTCAAATTATTGTTACAAGACATGTTCATTACAATAAAAAATACGCCCCCGGGTGGGCTCGAACCACCAACCTTTCGGTTAACAGCCGAACGCGCTAGCCGTTTGCGCCACGGAGGCTGATGCATCTGTCTTTTTTTTTATGTACTGTACATGTGTGTAGTATGACAAGACGATTATTGATTTAATTAATATAATTTAGAAATATTTAATAACAATACATTTTTAAGTAAATTTATTTTTCTAATGTGTAAAAAGTATAAACTAATTTTTTTCTAAACTGTTTCTTTTACAAATTTAAGAATTTTTATAAATCTCTTGAATTTCGAAAAGAAGCATTTACAATGCATATTTTTATATAATTGTTTCCGTTCACTATTGATTTCACTACTATGTAAATTGCGAATAACATTTGAAATTGCTGTAAAGAAAATAGAAAAAAGCGGAAAATAAATACGCGCTTGTCAGATTGCATCGCAAATATATCACTCGATCAATTTGATCGCTATTCGCAGGAGCAAATCGCATGTCTCCGAAACTACTATTCACCATTGATCGCATGTCGGTCCGCGATGAAAAACGGAAAAACGTGTCTCTCTTTCTTTCGCCGTCGGACAATAGTCCACGGCTGAAAATATGCAAAATCGGCATGCAATCCAAGCGTATCCCGTGGAAATAAATCCGATAAACAGGCTGCCCTGCGGCGAGCGTAGCCGAAATGTGCGAAACCAGAAAATCGCGTAACGTTTATTCTTACCGTTGTACCAACAGCGTTTGTATCAAGCATTGAAACTGCTGTACTTTCGGTGAATTTCAATTTCGATGCTGTAGACACACGAAACGGATCTCTGTATTTATTCGTGACGAGATGAAAACGCGAAAGTTTGCGTAAGGTTCATTTTTTCGTACCTACTGGGTGTTCGAAAAATAAACATTTTTCTTTTTTTTCCAAATAAAGATTGTTTCATTTTTCAATTAAGTACAAGTTATATTATTTAACAAAAAATGCAGATTCTTATCTAAAATTTTGTTGAAAGATTTATTCTAAATTTGTCAAAGA